GAACATGGATACTGAGCAGGGAGGACGGCTCCGCATTGTCCGGCCGGGGAAGCAGATGTGAGGCTTCAATGCGGCAGCGGCCGGGGACAGTCAGCACCGCTCCCAGCAGCGCGGACAACTGCAGCTCTTTGTTTAGAAAGAGGACATGAGAGAAAGGAAGCGCCCCAGAAGACCGGCACCCCTGTGACGGAGGAGGGTGCCTGGGAGACAGGCAGACAGGTGCACACTTTGGAGCCTGTGAAAAGCAATCGCAGGAGGCAGACCATTGGGGGATGTGCGCATGTTCCAGGGCATCTTTTGCTGAAGGGATGGAGCCCAAAGTGTGTTCAGTGGGCACAGTCCTCGCCACACAAATGGCCTGGCCAAGGAAGGTATGTCAGTATCTTATGTGTGATTTTCTTTTAAATGTCTGCTACCTACACTGTCCAGCCTTGCAGGCACTCGTGTCTGCTAAACAAGTTCATGCCGTTCACTGCCCTTGAAACTATGAAAGCGTTTCTGAGCATGAGACTCTAGAACGTGCCATTGTTAGGAGGCAGGCTGTCACCGCTTACTCCAGGGCTCGGGCTCTTAGTGACTGCGAGCGACAGACGTGCGAGGGGGAAGGCAGATCGGAACAAGCTGTGCTTAAATGATTCTCAGAAATTAAAACTAAAAAGAAAAAAATATAGCCTTCTGAAGAATACATAGCAGTCCTCTGCCAAATTAGGTCAAATTGAATTCTTATCTACTAAACTACAGGGCTCCCTTAAAAATGGCTAGCAACAGAGACAATGCAGTGAAGTTTCATTAAATAGTATCAAAAATGATCTTAATATCAAGACCTTTTTCAAAGTCTTTTAAAAACAAAATCCTAATATATAGCATCTTTTAGTAACAAAGTCTTCCCTCCAAAACCCATCTGCCCAAACAGGGCTGATGACCTGGGGGTCAGCAGTGCCCAGCGTGGCCAGCAGTGAGAGCCCCGGGAAAGCGTTTGCATGGGGTCGCAGGTGTGAGTGTGCAGGCGCATCCCCCCAGGTCTTCACAGTCCAGTGCCAGGAAAACAACTTTGAAACAAAGAAATAGCAACATTGGCGGAACATCCCCCAATCTAAAACAGAGCTTAACAAACCTAGAAGGTGGGGGGGGGGGGGGCTGGGGGGAGGTAAACCAAAGAACTTACATGCATATGTGCACAACCAATGGGCACAGGCAATAGTTTGGGGAAAGCAGGAGGGGGGTGGGATCTGGGAGGAGGGGGTCACTGGGGGAAAAAATGGGGAACATCTGTAATACTCTCAACAATAAAATAGAGCTTTAATTTTAAGCAACAGACTGATTCTAAATGATCAAATATAAGGTTGTTCTTGATGCTCATTTTAAAGTGAAATTCAAAGACATAATATGAAAAACACTTTGATATAAAAATATCCATAAATAGCACTACAAGGTCAAAAATTAAACCCAAATCTAGCCACTGTGCTTCCAGACTGTGTCACATGTAGCACTGAACTGCTGCCATGGGGTGTGTGCAGCGCAGAAATACACCATCAATCACTATTTAACAACTCATAGTTCAGGAACTCAAGGATATTTTTACAAAATTTTAGAGATCTATCAAAGATCTTCATTTTTGCTCAGTTTCCCTGTAAAAGTCAATAACCTATTATTTCACAGTCATAAAAGGCAATCATTTTAAAGACATATGTAAGCATGCCATTCTAAAATTAGGATTAAACAAGTTTTATTAGGCCCTATTAATATTACATTTCAACATCAACTCTCATTCATACCATGAATTTTTATTCCACTTAAGAATGAAATCAGATGGTATTAAAAAATACAGCTGTAAAAATCTCAAGTCTCTCTTAGTGCCTTTATTTCTCGATGTTAAAGTCACCAATGAAACATTTTTACAAAATAGGTATCTCAAAAGTGTAGAATTTTTTATCCAAGTACCACTCAAATCTAGAACTGTTTTAACAGACTAAAGATACCAACACTTTTAAAAGACAAATGAGAAAAACTGTGTGTACCAACCGAACGTTTTACAGTCATTCTCTCCATGAACTTTAGTCCATAAAATGTGAACACACAATAATTTGAAAATATTATCATAAAAATCAGAGATAAAGCTATTTCTACACTGGAAATCTAAAAATGCAAAGCTATTTAGCATGCCAAAACATTTTAACTTTCTTGTCTCGTTCCCACTTTTTAAGAAATAAAATACAACAGGCAGTAACTCAAGAATGATTTTACTATGCCATAAAAGGATGTAATTTTACTTTATTTTTAACAGAAAAATTATAATTTGAGAACTTTAACTAGAGAATTTTTAAGGCTAGACACATGTATGTTTGTCAATGGGGAAATATTAAATGGGTACATATGATTCCAAGCCTGAGCAGCTTAGTGTTTACAGACATATGAACACCATGAATTTAGATTCAGATGCATCTCCATCACCCACTGCTACAAAACCCTAGAGAACCATAAACCATGTATTTAACTGGGTTACAATGTATAACGATTTGCTGTTTTCTGTAACATTGAAATACTTCAGAGATAACACTTCGGGTGTATTGTTTTCATAAAAACACCGCAATTCATTACTCTACGCATCTTCATTCTCTCCTTCAGCACTTCATTCAAGCATTCACACATCCAGCCTTATATTTATTGCTCCTTAAAGGATCGAATTTACACTTGTAAAAGATCTCAACGATTGGGACTTCAGTCAGATTCCAAGCATTATTATAGCAACAGAAAGCTGATACGTTTAATCTAGTTTTGGAATATTTAAAATAGATTATCAAATAAATTTTAAAGGCAACTTTTGTTTCTTTTAAATTTATACCCGCACCCCTTATAGCTACTAGCTTCTTTATGGGATGGAGGGAGAATCATTACTATTTATCAAAATTTCATTTGAAAATAAAAGCTTAGGAGGAGTTTCCCAGCCTGAACAGTCTGGCCAACTATTTACAGCACAAGGAGGGAAAAGTGAGTTTCTAAATCAGAACACTCAGCTCTTTCATTTCAGCTCAGCTCACTGCAGAACTATGTTTTACTGTGGAAATGAATAGCCTCGGTCTTCATTATAGTAACGTAAGATTAAAATTCATGTAAATGAACTCTAATAAATAGCAAACTAGATTGTTTTTAAAGCCCCAAACTTAGAAAAATCAGTTTATATTTTACAAGATGGTTAAATAATTTTCTACGTTTGAGAAACAGCTTAACTTATGAAAGTACTACATAATTTCAGATAATGGAAATTATCAATAGCTGGAGTCTGTACTATATTACACTTTAGAAATTTGTTCAAATTCCCAGCTACTTGCTCCCCCTAGTGGTTTGTTACTAGAATTGAAATACTTTCATTCACATATATGTCACACTTTCAGTTAATATTTTCAAAGTACGTACTTCACATATATGTTAATTTTATTCTATAATTACTCAATTATGTAAGGACTTTAATTATTTCCCCCTAAATAGTTACATTTCATGTAAGAATTCAGCAAATTTGGTATTAACCACGAATCTCTCAACATTGCAGGTTAAATGAATGCATATATTATAATGTATGATATATTATAATTTCAAATAAAACAAATGGTCCTATATTAAATCTTAATGGACTAGTCTTATTTGCTTAAGAAAGCAATTTCACAATAAAAACATTAAAAAAATAAAACTACATATTTATTAATCTCCTTCTCAAAAAGTTTTTTCTTACACTGCAATTCAAGCGTAGCTCCGTCACACCCCCACTGCCACCCTCGATCAGATGCCCTGAGAACGAGCTGAAAGCAGGGACTGACCTGCGCTGTGCACTGAGGCACCTGACCAGCGATAACACAGCCAGGTCTTAAACGTGGTGTCAGGCACCTTCCAGTGACATCCACAGTCTTGTTAAAAATCGAGGGTTCTAACTGTCATGCCGGCAAGAGTCCTAAAAAGGCAACAAATTCTCAACCTGCAAATTTGGAACACAGCATAACCTGAGAACCTTTAAAATGCATTTTGTGAAATTTTAAATCTTCAATAGTTGGATGTGACAGTAAGTAGTGCCTATATGTTATAAGAAATCTGAAAAGACTGTTCAAAGGAGTTCTCTGTGTAACTCTAACATGGAGACTCACTAGGACATGTGACAGTGTCCGCCACAGACAATTCAAAGGTAACTAGTTGTCATATTTTTTTAAATCGATCTTAAGTCTAAATAAGGACAATGATCTCCTGAATACCTCATATTTGAAGTGCAAAGTTAAAATGAGGAAAGAGTATTTGAAACTGCTCATCATTTATCACCATCTTAAAATCCTGCCCTGAGGTTACTGGACCCTGAAAATTAATTCTGACAGGCGCATCTTCTCGCTGACGTTCTCAGCACAGTGGGGCCTGGAAACGTGCCAGGCGGTGTGCTGTGACTCACAGAACTCGCCACAGTCAACCTTTCACTGCCTGCCCACAACCAGTGCACGGCCGCTTTACAAAAGGCCGCTGACCGTGCACGACCACCAGCAGTGTGTCAAATCAGTTCAATTAACGCCAGTCCATCCTCCATCTGCTCTCAGGCCTTCGTACAGGCCTCGCTCAGAAACACAGCGACTTATTTTTCTTTTACATCATACAACTTTTAAAACTTTAACTTGGGTCCAAAGTACATCTGGCCAGAGCCACTGAGACAATGAAGTGGAGAGTAAGCAGGCCCTTTGTCTAAGGCCCGTGCTGCTCAGAGGTGTATTTGAAAGAAGCCAAGCCTGCTCTCAGTGATGAGGTGCTGCAAGCGAGTCACGAGCTGTGTTCCCGGGTGGTTCTCTCGCGGCCTCGGCACCCGTCTGCCCTCCAGCCCCTCGGGGCGGCTCTGCAGCTTGCAGTTTGTGAACTTGTGCACTTCTCCTTCTAGGTGCCCGCAAGGGAGGCGATGGGAGCGCAGTGCTGACTCCGCAGAGGAAAGGACACGCTGCGCCGTCCCCTCCGTCCCCTCCGTCCCCGGGATCTCCAACATGCTCCAGTGGAGGAGGAGACACTGCTGCTGGGCCAAGCGCTCGCTGCTCCGGACCCATCTCATCGGTGCACTTTCCCTGGTGTTTCTCTTTGCCATGTTCTTATTCTTCAATCACCATGACTGGCTACCAGGCAGAGCTGGATTAAAGGAAAACCCTGTGACCTACACTTTCCGGGGATTTCGTTCTACAAAAAGCGAGACAAACCACAGCTCTCTTCGGAACATCTGGAAAGAAGCCGTCCCTCAAACTCTGAGGCCTCAGACTGCAACCAACTCCAATAACACAGACCTGTCCCCACAAGGAGTCACAGGGCTGGAGAACACACTCAGTGCCAATGCGAGTCTGTGCGCTGACAAGGGTACTGGACATTCAAATTCTTACCATTTCAAATATGTTATCAATGAACCTGACAAATGCCAGGAGAAAAGCCCGTTTTTAATCCTACTAATAGCTGCAGAGCCTGGACAAGTAGAAGCCAGAAGAGCTATCCGGCAAACGTGGGGCAATGAGAGTCTAGCCCCCGGCATCCAAATCACACGCATGTTTTTGTTGGGCGTAAGTGTTAAGCTAAATGGCTACCTTCAACGTGCAATACTGGAAGAAAGCAGACAATATCACGATATAATTCAACAGGAATATTTAGATACGTACTATAACTTGACCATTAAAACACTAATGGGCATGAACTGGGTTGCGACATACTGCCCACATATTCCGTATGTCATGAAAACGGACAGCGACATGTTTGTCAACACTGAGTATTTAATACATAAGCTACTGAAGCCAGACCTGCCTCCCAGACGGAACTACTTCACTGGTTACCTGATGAGAGGATACGCACCCAATCGAAACAAAGACAGCAAATGGTACATGCCCCCGGACCTCTACCCAAGCGAGCGCTACCCTGTCTTCTGCTCGGGGACTGGCTACGTTTTCTCGGGAGATCTGGCAGAGAAGATATTTAAAGTCTCCTTGAGCATCCGGCGTTTGCACTTGGAAGACGTATATGTAGGGATCTGTCTCGCAAAGTTGAGAATCGACCCTGTGCCCCCGCCCAATGAGTTTGTGTTCAATCACTGGCGGGTTTCGTATTCGAGCTGTAAATACAGCCACTTAATTACCTCTCATCAGTTCCAGCCCAGTGAGCTGGTCAAATACTGGAACCATTTACAACAAAATAAGCACAACGCTTGTGCCAACGCAGCCAAGGAGAAGGCAGGCAGGTATCGCCACCGTAAACTACACTAGGAAAGACCACCTTTTCTTTCCTCCCCAAACGTGCAATCTGTAAAATATTGCTGAAAGCATGTTCAGTTAAAACCGATTCTACCCACAGGACAAGTTTTAGTTAAAATTCATAACATAAAAGAATTCCAAAAGTATTTTTTTAATTTCTGAGGACAGTAATTCTAAAAAATACATTATATAACAAAAAAAAAGTATCCCGAGAGGATCTATTAAAAAGCTGTAGAAGGGGACTCTGTGTATTAACATGCAATAACAAGCATGCATATATCAATGGTCCAAGTCTTACATTAAGGGCCAATAAGATGCATCTGCCTATTACTTTCCACATAAATTTTAAGAAATGGAGACTGTCAAAAGACCCTTCATTTTAGATTCAGTTTTACATCTCAATATATAACTAAATGTAAATGAAACACCACTGTCAGTCTGAGGAAGCTCTGGACTCGTGCACAGGACACCTTTCCGGCCTGACTGCTCTCGGGCTCTACAAACTGGATCCACGCGGTAAGATTCCATCGAGTTATTCCAGAAACACATTTTTAAACTTCAGACGTTTCATCAATGTCGTTCTCATCTAAGTACTTATTTAAAAAACAACAAAACAATTGAGATACTCCTTTTCTTTTACTAAGACTCACATATATCGGGGGAAATTATTTTGACATGATGTGATAAAATGTGAAAAATCAACGTGTCTCAGGCTCAAGCTTTTATAAAAACAAAAAAGTAAATGTTTCAGAATAGACTTGTTTTCTCGGTGGGGTGTGGGGTGAGGGCCGCGTGCGTGTGAGCGCGTGTGCGCTGGCCGGCTGCGGCTCTGAGGAGTGAGCCCCTCTCCCTGGAGCACGCGTGCGCACGGAGCCCTGCTCCTCGCGCCGGCCAGGCGACCACTGGGGCGCAGAGGACAACCGCCAGAACCGGGAGGGATGCAGCGTGGCCGCTCCCTGCAGTCCGTCTGAGACGCACGTCTGCCACACGGCGGCACGCGGGAGCCCATCTCCTGCCAGCAGGTGGACACGCACCGGCTCAGCCCCTCTGCGGCAGCGCTCTTCCCGAGGGCCCAGTTTACAAACCTGCAGTTTTTAATTTGGTGGGTGACAAATTCTGCATCGCCAGTTAAAAACCTCTTGGGGGAAATGGGGAAAAACTACAAATGTTTGATGAACACTTGATTCTAGGATGAACAATGTATACAATGCACTTTTACCAAGTTTTTAATAAAAAGGTAAATAAAAAATCTTTACTGAGTGTTATGGTACAAATATTTTCCCAGTAGTTTTGTTTGGTTCCATTACAATTTTTAAAATCAGGAAATACTAAACCTACTAACTCTAAAATAGTGTTTTCATTTCATACATATAAATTTATTAGTCTTAATTTAGCCAGAATGTCACTTATCCTCATTCTAATAACGATCATTTTTACCTTCAAGTCTGAAGATATTGCATTGAAACCAAATTTTAACATCTGTGAAGTTCAGAATCACAGAAATGGTATTTAGTATCTGATACATTGAGTTCTGTTCACACTAAATCTATCTCCCATTTTATTTCAGTCCTCTAAGTGCTCCATTGTACAGAGTAATTCTGAAAGCTAGCTAGGTGACACCCGAGCTCTTAGTTCAGTCTGTTTTTCATTTAATTTAATTTCCATGTCGCAAAAAGACTACAAAAGTACTAAATGAAAGTCACACATAATAGGACAACAATACCAAAGGAGGTAAGTTTGATGAAAGATAAAGGAATCTGCCCTCGGTGTTGAATAGTGCTCTCATTGGTACTTCTGAAGTAAAGAAGGTGTGTGCGTGCTGCGTACATGCACGTGTGCACAGTGCACGCAAATGTGTACATACACAGGTATGTGCGTGCACAGGAGTCAAAGTTGCTGAAAATATCAAGCTGTTCAGAATTCACATCCGCTGGCCAAGCCTCAAAAACAAGCAACAAAGTCGTTTTTGTGGGAACAATACAGCCCTCTAGTAGGTCCAATGAGCAAAACTTTACAACTAGTTTCCTGACATTCATGCCGTCTGTTTCCCCGACTACAGCCAGTACTTTCAAAACACAAACTATTCAGGTCATCCCACTGCTTTCGAATGTTCTTAGGACGAGTACCCGAGTCCCTGAAGCCCTTGGCTAGCCCGCTCCAAGGCCAGTGAGCGACTGTTCTTTGCTGAGGCCGATCTCTCCACCGATCTTTTGCTCCCATTCCTGCCTCCCCCCTTCATTCTCTAAATTATTCTCTCTTCCTCAAGACTGATTTTAGAAGCAATAAGCCAACAAATAAAATATTCCATCCCTGGCCTGTTTGGCTCAGCGGTTAGAGCGTCGGCCTGCAGACCAGAGAGTCCCGGGTTCAGTTCCCACTCGGGGCACGTACCCTCCCTCCAAAAATATTCCCAATTACAAACAGTAAATTAAAATTTGACTCAATAAAACAGCCTCCCCTTTAAGTTATTTTGATCTTTTCTGAAAGAAACCCTATTTAAGGTGTTCTTTGTAGTGATAGGACTCCATTGATTTGTATATGAAACAAAGCAGCATGTAAATAATTATCTGTTGACAAAAACAAGTACAAGTACTATGAGAATACTGACTACAATCTGTTACATAGACTCTAACCCCTCTCGGTCATCTTGGATGACCCAGAAGTGGCTCACAAACCACTCACTAGAACTGCACCATGAACAGGGAAGCAATGCTCAAAGTGGTGATGATCACTTACCAAAAGCCACACCTGTTGTAAGGTCCTTTATGTCATGGCGCATTTCTAAGCTGAGACTAGGAGGCTGAAGTTAAGAAGTGAGGTGTTAACTCTTCTCAATATAAAGTCAATGCAAACGAAACTGCTGGCACCATTTCCCGACCGATTGGCTTCACCATGTAAAACCCTAGGACCGGAACATCAGGCTAACAGGAGCTTCTGAGTCCAGTCCTCAGAAGGGAAGAAACCCCCGAGCGCGCTCCCTTGGTAAACATCACTGAGAGCCCAGGGCTGAGGCATGAACTGCAGACACAACTAGAAACAACACAGCACTCAGTTGTTGAGATAATGGTCCTTCCATGGAGAAAACCACAAATCCCCTCTTCAAGGAACCAGAAAGAACAACTGTGACACTTGTCATAAAGCACGAGACACGATCTGACCCAACCTGTGCTACCTGCGGTCAGAGAAGCTGGCTAGAACATCCTCAAGGTAACATCTAAGAGATAACTAGATGCTAATCTGGCGAAGTGGGAACAACTGCAGGGGAGGGAACACGAGGTACAATGGCCCTGGGGTGGGTAAACTATGGCACAAAACAGAGAGAAGACTGGTGTGTGCTGATGCCACACAGGTAAGAAAAGAAAGGGACAGGTAAAAACCACATGGAGACCTGCAGCACATGTTAACGACGACGGTTTTAAACCCTAGAGTAATGGAAAGCATTAGACATACAGCAATATTTGAAAAACAGAAAGAGAGCAGAAGGCTAGCGCTCATGCCTAATGGTTTGTCTTTTTAAAAGTTTGAAGCAGAGACATGCAGAACAGACTGGAGAGACATGAGTGGCGTGAGAAGACCCGTTAGAGGACTACTGCACAATCCAGGGAAGATAGAAAAATAGTTAGCACCAGGAGGATGGCAGTGATAGAAAAAAGGAATTCCAGAGATGTTGGGCAGCAAGGTCAACGGCACTGTGACGTCTAGATATTGCAGGTGAGAGAGAGGGAAATAGTGACGAAAATGATGCCTAGCGTCCTGGCCCGGGCACGGAGGGGACGATGGCACCACTTCCAAGAGGAGAACTGCAAGAACCTGACTCACCAGGGTAACGTAATAAGGAGCCACCAAAAACCGTATAAAAGGCCTGTCCAGTGGCACTGAGAACCTATATATTATAAAGTGTCAATACAATAATAACGTGACTACTCTATACACAAAGGAAAGTATGGAAAGTAACTGGACATAGAAGGTATAGCGTGCGAGTGCTCGTTTCGGCAGCTCACGCACTGACCCTGCACAACCCAGAGAAGATCAGCATAGCCCCGCACCAGGGCCGCACGCACATTCGGGAAGCACTCCACATTTTTTTTAAAAAAATCATTCATTTGTGGATAAAAAAGCTGTGGTACACATACACAATGGAGTACTATGCAGCGGTAAGAAAGAAAGATCTCTTATCCTTTGAGACGACATGGAGGGACCTGGAAAGTATTATCCTAAGTGAAAGAAGCCAAGCAGAAAAAGACAAATACCACATGATCTCACTTATATACGGAATATAATGAACATACCAGTCTGAGGAATACAGTAGACCCAGAAACATGAAAGTAGGGCACAGACTGACATCCCTCAGAAGAGGGGATGGGGGTGGGGGGGTGGGAAGAGATAAACCACAGAACTTCTATGCATGTATGCATGACCAATGGTCATGGACAACTAAGCCGGGGACAGGGTGGAGGGGGGGTAGGGTGGGGGGTGCCAATGGGGTAAAAAGGTAAAATGTCTGTAACAACAAAATAAATAAAAATTCATATGAAAAAAATAAAAAAAATAAAAAATCATTCATTTGATAAAGACTCTTCAAGCTACACCCGTGGGCCAAGCGCTCTGCTCTCAGCACTGGGCGGACAGTGGAGGGCACGCTGGGATTTCTGCCTTCAGATCCTCAGACGGAAGGGAATCGTCAAAGTAAGTAAGTACACGAGGAGATCACTAGAAGAAAGAACTGGGACGCTTCCTAAGGAAGTGACCTTAAGATTAAGACACGAATGATGAGGAGACAGTCTTATTAGGGGAAGAAAAAGAATGATCCAGGCAAACAACTGCCAAGACAAAGGCCAAGAAGTTGAGAAGAACCTGACAAGTTGGTAGAGAAACAGAAAAAAGCCACTGAAACAGAACTAGGGCAATAACCTTTCTTAAAGCCTTTTCCCTCGTCGTTGTGGGTAGAATTCAGAGGGTCCCTAATTTGGATGTGAAAAACTTTTACTATTTTATTTTCAACAACCTCTAAC